ACATCACATGAAGATTGAAAAGAAACCCATTTTTTTCAAGTGAGAAAACATGGGCTGCTCGATATATTGAGTTGACATAGCTGGATAGTATTAAAGAGAGGATATATACGAATCACTCATGATTGGTCAAATTTCATGTATTACAGAGATATGGGCTTTATTAAACTTTTATTCACGCGAGTATGTTTAGACCATGTTTGGACTCCATTTTATTCAAAATACATTTTTCTTTCTTTTCTTTTTAACTATACTTTCTCCAATAAATGGTATTACACTTGAACATTTTTTAAAAAATCACTATTTCCATATACATTTTCCACAAAACACATTATAATGGAGTCCAAACCGGGGCTAAGGGCATCTTCAAGAGATTTTTTAAACATGAAATTCTTTCTATTTTATACGAGCAATCCTTAAATCATGCTTCAAGAAACTATTTAAATTAACATTTTAATTAGCCAAACCAACTATTTATAATTAAATGTTTTCAGAGTATTTCGATTTTTTAATGTACAAAAATAACATAATAATCTAGATAAAAATTAGTTAAAATAAAAGATGGAGAAAAATAATATTTTTTTGGTAGTAGTAAAATTAAGTGTCAAATATAAAGGGCCTGTTGAGGTTTTCACTTTCTAAATTTATAGATACTATCTAAATTATAAATTATGCTCTTAAAAATAGTCTTTTGAACATGCTCTAATATATTGAATTGGACAAAGTTGGACATCGTAAAAGAAGAATGGCAGTACAAACAATATTGTTTGTTGTCTTATTCAATCTTGACAATTTTATTAGGCAAAAAATTTCATTGAAATTACAGTTATAAATAACAAATTACAAAAAGCAAATGTAAATCAAACACGAAAGTAAATGAGCAATGGCACGAGTCTCTCTCTTAATTTGTTAGGGATTCCTCTTTTGACTTTAACTTTGTACTCATTCTTGATTATAAGTAAGTGTATTAATGTATTCTTCCTCTAGAAGAGACCGAAGTGAAACATTATTAATATATTAAACCATCAATTATCAACGCCACCTAAACTTTAGGACCAATTATCTTCTTATCTAACCCTTGAGCTCAATTGTTTTAGAATAGATTTTGTAAAAAATAATTTATTTATTTATTTATTTATTTTCAAAGAATGTTTGAGTAAAAAAATAGGGATAAATTTTACATTTACGTATAAAATTATTTTGTTGAGAAAATATATGGTTGAAAATGAAATTAAAGAAAATGAGTTTTGTAAAATGAGGCTCAAATAGAGGTTTAACTTAAAATTGCCTAATCCAATCTCCATTTTTTTGTTGAATCAGTTTGAACCAAGAAAATATTTTAAACTATCATGCCATTTTCACTTTTAAAAATTAAAAAAAAAATTATATATATAATAATAGTTCCTCTTAATATAATTTTTTCCAATGTAGGTTAGCCCCTTTTCGGGCTTCATTTCCTTCAAAACTTATTTTCAATCATACATACTTTCATAAAAATAATTTTACATATAAATCCAAAAAAATTTCTTATTTTTGGCAGCACATTCTCCATATTTTAAAAGACATTTTAACATTTTGGGGTTTTTTCCTTTATTTATTATTATTATTTTTTTTTTTTGAGAACACCACATAAACCCTTAATTTAAAAATCACATTTCAACACTAACAAACTTCTAAAAGTTTTTTTAAAAATCAGGTGATAATTAAATTTATTAAATATTTAATTATAATATAGTATAATTGATCTATTAGCTCCACCCTACCTCCATCCCACATAACCATTACATCAAACCCTTCTCTTTCTCTCTCCACCCCACCCAACCTCCGACAGCTGCTCCGTCGACCCCACCCAACCTCTGGCGATGGCTCCAGCAAAAATTTTGAAGATCGCTCCGACGACCTCCCGATGACCATTCTAGCAACTATTCCAGTGACCACTCACCTTTTCGACAACTACCTTTTTTTCTTTTCTCTTCTTTTTTTGCAATGACCTGTGATCAGTTCCATTAAATTTGTGACCTGTGCACATTGTGATCTGTGACCAATTCTATTGAATCTGTGACTTAATCATGTGAGATGAATATGTATATGATTAATTTCATAATTAAGAAATAAAGTTTGAAATTTCAAAAATCAAATACTATTAAAATTTTAGTTACAAAATAATTAATTAAAAAATATTTTTATAACTAATAATTAAATTTACAAATTGTTTTTTCTTTTTTTTAGACAATAATCTGTGACCTGTTTCCACTGCGACATATAAAATATGATTTTTAGCATTTGATTTGTTATCCATGACTCATAACATAAAATGTGACCTATAAATTTGATTTGTAACTTCTACAAAATGACATGTGACCTGTTAATATTGATCTGTGATCCGTTTATACTGATTTGTCCTTATATCAAATGACTATGACTTGTGAACTCAAACATGTGACCTTAACGATGAATTATGACCCGTAACGTATGAATTGTGACCTGGTGTTCATGACCAAATTTAGTTTCGATGTAATTGTCTATGACCATGTTAGTCTAATTTGTGATTATATGTAACCAAGTCACATATCGTTACAGTTAACACAAATCTTGTCACAAGTTGAAGATAGATTTGATTACTCACCACTATTCCCAACACCCGCGGCTAAAACGTACATCACCTCACTAGAATCACATATACTACCTGCTAGAAAGAGGGAGACACCACCAGTGCTGTCGATTCAGAAGAGCTCCGGTGGCTCCACCACTGTCGTCACCATCGCCCATTTCTTTTTCATTGCTATCAAATCGAGTTATAGATCAATTAGAACACTGAATGAAGAACCTGATAACAAAATTTACTGCCCAAAATCAATTAATCTGGTCCTGCCTTATATTGATGCTGTGAACCAAATTTCGAAGAAGAGACGATTTCTAGTGCAAACTCGTTTTCTCATGTTTCTTTTGCAGCAAAGCCTCCTTCATCTTCTTCGAAAAGGATGTGCAGTTTGTTTGAAAACGTGCTTTCCAGCAAGTGTAGCCAAGCCGATCGATTTTCCATTCAAAAAAACTCGCTCACCTAAATGTACAAATTAATCTATCTCTCTCTGATATAATATTACATAATCATTTACTTGAACTCTTTTAGAAAGCAGCAGAAACAGGAGTGGATGAGTAATCAGAGTCCAACGTGAGGAAAGGGTAAATTCTAGAGAGAGAGAATGAGGAAAATGTAAACTTTGATTTAGTAAACAGGAGTGCGTTCGCTTCCTGCCAATTCTAGAGAGAGAGAGAATGAGGGGAGCGGGAGAGGGAGAGGGAGAGGGAGAGGGAGAGGGTGAGGGTGAGGGTGAGATTGGGTATGGTATGTGGGAGTTAGGGTTGGTTAGGTTGAATTATTAAGAATATATTTATTTAATAATTTCTAATTACCACATGAAATTAAACTTAATCTTTCTTATTTATGAAAATTAGTTTGTAAACTCATGTTTCTAGGTAGCTTTTTCATTTTTTAAAATTAGTTTTGCCATTAGCTGGGCTGCGAAAATAAAAAAAATAATAAAAAAAATAGGCCCAATGGCCCCAAGCTCAATCCATGGTCCACGGATATATAAGTATATGGAAATTACACAAGGGTAATTAGCACAAAACATCCCTACCTTTCGATGTTTTTGTGGAAAAAGTCCATACCTTTCATTTTTTGGTGGATTACACCCTTACCTTTACATTTTTTTGCTCAAAACGTCCTTCTGTTAACTTTCCGTTAAAATGCTCCGTTAAATCAAAAAGGTAATTAGCATAAAAGGTCCATACCTTTCAAAGTTATTGTGCAAAACGTCCCTACCTTTTATTTTTTAGCATAATTAGCAGAAAAGGTCCCTACCTTTCAATATTATTGTGCAAAACGTCCCTACCTTTCATTTTTAGCATTTTTACCCCTACATTTCACCTTTCATTGCGCAAAATGTCCTTTTCATCCTTTTTTTCAATAAAATGACGATTTTACCCCCCTATTGAAATAAAACAAAAAGAAAAGAAAAAAATAATTAATTAATTGCAATCATAGTTCTAAATCTTTCAAAACATTACAGATAAATCCTAAATTCTCCACTACTGCCACTTTCACAACCCCACCAAGCCACCACCTATAGATCCATATAGCACCACTTTTCGACCACAACACATAGGACTCCACCACCACCAGCGTCGTCTCACTCTCCCCAATATCCTCCTCCATAGTATTGATCACCAATCTGTCCGAAACAACCACATTTACGGTGGTGGAGTCCGGTGGGCATGGTGGCCGAAAGGTGGTATTATGTGAATTTATAGTTGGCAGCTTGATAGGTTGTGAAAATGGTGGTGGTTGAGAATTTATGATTTTTTTGTAATTTTTTAAAAATTTAAGGATTATGGTTGCAGTTGGTAATTCATCTTTTCTTTTTGTTTTATTTGAATAGGAGGGTAAAATCGTCATTTTATTGAAAAAATGGATGAGAATGACCTTTTTTGCAATGAAAAGTGAAAGGTAGGGGTGAAAATGCTAAAAATGAAAGGTAAGGATGTTTTGCACAATAATATTGAAAGGTAGGGACCTTTTCTGCTAATTATGCTAAAAAATAAAAGGTAGGGACGTTTTTCACAATAACTTTGAAAGGTAGGGACCTTTTGTGCTAATTACCTTTTTGATTTAACGGAACATTTTAACGGAGAGTTGACAGAATGACGTTTTGCGCAAAAAAATGAAAAAGTAAGGGTGTAATCCACCAAAAAATGAAAGGTAGGGACTTTTTCCACAAAAACATCGAAAGGTAGGGATGTTTTGTGCTAATTACCCATTACACAATATCATACTTTAAGTATTCAACATTCTGAATCATATGGGAACTTTAATATTTCAAAAATCAGAAAAAAAAAAGTTATATTAATTATTTAATTTATAAACTAACCCTAACCCCCTCCCACCCCCAAAATGTCCTCCAAATCCATTCCCTCTCTACATCTTGTCATTCTAGTCTCTCTCATCTGTGAAGAATGGGCGGAGTTGGTGTCGCACTTTTGCTGTGGCTGCAGGAAGATGCTGGTGTTGGTGACGCAGCTGTAGTGGTATGGGCGGCACTGTTAGGTTCTGTGAAGACGCCGATGCTGTGGTGGTGTTTGTGTGGTGACGATGCTGTGGGCGACGCTATGGTGGTGGTGTTTGTGTGGTGACGATTTTGTGGTGGCTGCTGTGGTTGTGGTGGTGTTTGTGTGGTGACGGTGCCTTGGGCGGCGCTGTGGTGGTGACAGTGCTGTGGGCCGTGCTGTGGTGGTGGTGGTGTTTGTGTGGTAAGAGTGTTGTGGGCGACCTGTGGTGGTGATGGTGTTTGTATGGTGGATTTGACGGTTTGAGTGGGGTTTTGTGTAGGTGACTGTGAACCTACAATGGTGGTGGTGATGGTGTTCTGTGTGGTGGTGGTGATGGTTTTGTTTGGTGACGGTTTTGTGGAGGCGACTTTGAATCTAAGATGGTGTTGAGATCGTATGTTGTGGTGTTGATAGGTTGTCATAAGGTGGTGGTGGCTGTGCTTCGTTGAGGTGGTGGCAGTAATGGTGATAGTGATATTTGTGGCGGTGGGAAGAAATGGGGTTGTGACCAATTAATTTGGAAATCTGTGACATACAAATAAACTATGACTTGATTTGTGACCGATGAAATTAACCGTGACCAATTAATTTGACAATTTACAATGAATAAAAGTTGATTTTTTGACATATAAAATTTTATATTCGTGACCCAAAAACAATATGTGACCTATGAAATTTTTTATTTGTGATCGAAAAAAAGTTGTGACCAATAAATTGATAAGTTGTGACTAAAAATTAATCCGTGACTAATTAATTTTTTGATTTGTGATCGATGAACAAACTATGACCTCCAAAATTTTTGAATTGTGATCGTAAAATAATTTGTGACATAAAATTTTTGATTTATGATCAAAAAATAATAAGTGACTAATTAAATCGTTAATTTATGACCAGTTTGTACAAATTTATAACCTAAATATGTTTAATTAGTAAAATAATTAATTATTTAATTAAATCATAAATAAGTTTTAATAAAAATCTGATTTTTAAAAGTTTGAAACTTGTTTTATTAATTTTCAAATATGTCAAATTTTCCCAATAAGTATTTCCTCCCGCACGTCCACTGTACCAAACTACCAATTACGAAACAAAGTGGGAAGCAGTGCAGAGACGAGGAGAAGCAGTACGAGCCGCGGCCGGTCATTCTCTATTTCTCCACCTCTCCTGGCTCAATTTGTGAAGCTGGTCGCCGGCGACAGACCTCCTGTGTCAGTGACTTCGTGAATTGCGGCGAGCGCCTTCTTCCTTCTCGACTGTCGTTGTCGTTTTTGTTTTTATTTTTGTTTTCCTTAGTTTTTGTTCCGTGACAAAGAAATGAGAATTTCCTTAGTTTTTGTTCCGTGACAAAGAAATGAGAATTGTGAATTTGTAATTTATGTTGCATGAGTTATGACTGATAATTTATCATTTATGAGTTTTGATTCATGATTTGGGAATTTAGGTTTAGGAAATTACCATAGTGAGTATGTCTGTATTTGTGTGTTTTTAATAATTCCATTTGTATTTCGGTTGTAGTTATATTCATATCTTGTATTGTTAATTTTATAAGATAAAAATGGGAACGTTGCATATTTAGTTCTCGACCAATTGCCTTAAAAAGCAAGTGGATTTTTAACCTTTCCGTACTATCCTGTTTGGTTTGGATAAGAAAGCTTCCTCTGACCGATTCTAGGTGAGTCCATAAGAGATCCTCTAACCTCTCTGTACTATCATTTTATATTTTTTTATTGTAGAAAAGCGACACTCATGTGAGTATGTTATTCCCGTTGAAATTAGAATTAAAGACAGACACTCATAGAAGTATTCCTTTCGGAAGCTTAATTAAATTTGGGAGATGTTAGATGACGTTCATCGAGAAATGTTGATGGAACCTTGTTTCGAACAACTATATTGAATGAAGTGTATACCTTTTTCAGCCCAACTAGTCCACCAACTTGTAATAAAGATGATTGTAACCTAACAAGAAAATGAGATATGGCTTTCAATTGTTGTTCCCTTCACAAGCTTGATTATATGCCCTTTGTCTAGTTGCGGATTGCTATGCATTTCGATTCATAACATTTTATTTTTTATATATTTTCCATCTCTTTCTTCCTATTGCCCAGAAAAAGACCAATCTTCATTTCCCACTGTTTCTTCCCCCATCTCCATCTCCATCTCCATCTCCTGATCCAGATTTAGCATGATTCTCAAACCCTAACTGAAAGAATCCATCCATATTCATGAATGGCATCTTCCTCTTCACCTTGTCCGCCGTATTTCAATTCATAATGATACTATCAAGCACTGTCACCATCAAATTGGTACCATTTATATTAATTCCTTTAGAGTGAATGCTTTCCCCTTCAACTGAGCTTTGTACACATCCCCAAATCTGCCTTAGCCAATATGGTTTTCATTGTAGTAGCCATTAGTGGCTTCAAGAAGATATGCAAATTTGAGTTTCCCGAGAGGCTTTTTCGAAAGTTGCGATGTTAATGCTTCGAGCATTCCAGTTGCCAATTGTTGTTGCTGAGTTGGGGAAGCTGTGTAGATTGCTGGAGGGATTGCATGTAACTATGGTGTATTTGGAAATTTTTAGAGAGAGAAATTCTGCAATTGGGCTTAGTATTTTGTGGATATATATGTTTTAAAAATAATTACTATTAAATTTGATTTTCGAAGATGAAACTAGGATTTGAGATAATTTTCCCACTTTTTATTTTTAATTTTTTAGCTTAAGCTGGTTCCAAAATCAAACCAATCGCAGCGCAAAAACAACAACAACAACAATAATAAAATTTGGAGTCCAATTAACAAGAGTTTTAACTTTTTACACTTTTTTCCCAACCCAAATCACGGTTGTTCTGTTGAATTCAAACCACGCGGCCACACCTCTACCTTCAATTGCTTTCCCCTGCCTGGAATCTCCAAGCTCCAATCGGGTATTGGACGGATGTTGCACCATTCACCACCAGAAATTTTATGTGGATTGGATATGTCCATTATTGTTCACACACATTCAGTTAGTCCCTTCTCTCACTTTTGCTGAATATCTCTTTGAAGTGTTTGAGGTTTCTCAAATTATCTTTTGGCTATTTGGGGGTGGGAAATCTGGTTTCGCCGTTTGGGGTGAGTGGGTGTGATTAATTTGAGAGAATTTGGGGATTGCTGAATTTTGGGCTGCAATTGTATATAAATTTACCAATTTTCCATTCCTTAATTTACTTTTAATTGTATGGGTTTTATAGTTTTGAACATTTTTTTCTTGGCTATTCTTGTTCCAAATATTATCTTTTTTGGAATTAGGAGTTCATGAATGTTCATCAAATGAGAAAAAAACTGCACATAAGTTGAGTTCTCTTTAGACTTTTTTGGTTACGAGTTTAGAATTGTGGAATTAGTGGAGTGTAATGTAGACTGTAGAGTGAACGATGAAAAATTCCTTGTTTCACAATAATAAAGTGAGTTTCACAAGTACAGGTTGTACTATTTTCATAAGAATATATTAGAAAAAATAAAAACTACATGATTATCCAAGAACATTGAAGAAGATGGAATTAACTTCACCACCCATTAAATTACTGCATTTCATTGTAGTCTTTTTGAACACAATGTGAAAAGCATTGAATCACACAAGAATATGTTAATGAAATCAGGCACTTTGTTTTAATCTTTTAGATTTGTTTTTATGTTCCATGAAACTGCCTACTCTGGTAATTTTCTAATTATATTACACCAACACCAACATACATAAAAAGCACTCATTTTATTAGTGACAATTTTGGGCATGAAATAGAAGCACTTAGATTATTATGTCCAACTCTAAATGATTTAAATTGACATGAAAGATAAGATACGATCATGATACTTGCTAATAGTAGATATTTTCGTTTTTGGCAATTAAGTGTTACTTTTCCAACGACCCAAGAATATTTTTGTTCTGAGGTTTTTTGGTGAAGATGTTCTTCTTTTACTTTTCGTGAACTACTTAAATATATGATGGCATTAACTGAATTCTAGTACTATATATAAATTTTATTAAATTGACCAAATTCTAGTACTATATCTAAGTTTTATCATATTGACTTTCTTAAGTTTCTACACCCTTTATTGAAAATTCTGGATCCGCACCTCCTAGGTCCTCCGTTTCTCTTCGTGGAGTCTCTCTTTTTTGATTCGGCTGAAAACCCTTGAAAGTTGGAACTCAAATTCATTTTTTGAACGTGTTATAATGCTTTATTAAATAGTAGCTCTGGTCGTGTAGTACTTTCTTGATTGCATTTGTAAATTATGATTTTTTTTTATTGTGCAGATAATTCAATTTTTTGTTTAGCTTCTGAGAATTCAGTAGGCAACCACAAACGTCCAGTGAAATAATGTAAGAGGACAAGTTTTCTTTTTCTTTTACTGATTCTGAGTATGTCTATTAGTAAACTTTATAGCAATTATGTTCTTGGTGACTCAAAGTTGAGTGGGATTGAAATTCATTTTTGAATAAATAATGTTGTTGAGGTTAGGGTTTTCTTGTTTTGATATGGCTGACTAGTGCTTTATTTTAAATCAGGGGAGCTGTTAAACTGAAACTTCGTTCTCCGAATGTTGATGGAATAACTTCGGATCCACAGCCAGATTGGAGCTTTGATAACTTATTGTCAGAGATCGATACAATAGAAAAGAAGCTTATTGTATCTTCAAAATTTTCTGTACCGTTTACCAAAACCCAACCTAGGTATGTGTGTGAAAATTGGCTGAAAACTGTATTTCATGGAATTGAATGCTTGTCGTTATATATATGGTGTTAAGGATTTTATGTTTTGATACTATCATTCAGAGAGCTTCAAGCTTCAAAGAAGAGTAATAAGTATTCAAAGGGCTTTGTAATGCACGTGTCAGACAGTGAGCTGGAAGCAACTGACAGCGGTGGTGAAGAGGAGGATGAAGATTCAGCCATGGTTGCAGGCACACGATTTTCTTGTGATGAATTCTACATGAGGTTTGCACTCTGCACTAATGACTACATGGTCATTAAAGAGTCTAATAAAGGGAACAACTACGATATATGAAATTGAAGTATTATTACATGATTATCTCTTATTGGCCTTTTATGTTTTTTGTAATGCGGGAAGTATTTGGGATAATATAGTTTCTGAGGAACTTTAATAGAAAATCGTTTTGTTAATTAGAAGTAATTAGTGATGAAAAATGTACACTAATGGGTAGCTGAACTTTATTTGAATGCTTAGTTCTCTGTTCTGGAGTTTCTAGATGGAACACGCCCTCTTATTAGATCATTGATCTATGTGTTTGATCTTCTTATGACTTGCGTGTAAAATTAAGGGTGCTGCAAAAGTGTGTTTGTAGCTTAGGAAACTACTAATCACACTAGCGGTTGAAAATTTAGACTAGTTCATTGCAGTGCTTAAATGTCTTATAGGATTACACAGTTTTCAACTGTTTTAATTAAGTTTGGCATGTCATAATTTAGAATGAGCGAATGGATATTCAGAGATTTAGTACATGTCAGCAGTGTATTGTTTCCTGGCCATTGAACCATCAACATGTAGACGTGTAATCCCCATATAGTTAAGTTGTCTTATTGATTATCTGGCTTTGCCTGTTACTTACTCAACCTTTATTTAATTTTGCCTTTATAGGACTGAATTTGTCCCAACTGACTTTAGTCCTTGAACTTTAGAGTTTGGAGCTCCACCTGGGCTAGGCAAAACAATCGAAAGTGTATTCTTGCCAAGCTGTTTTTCTAACTTATCCATTGTGACTTACCTAATCATAATACTTTAGTCTTGTGTTGGCTTTGTTCTTAATTAACATGTTACGATGGAGGGCAATAGAATGAGGCCTTTTCTTTTCTTTTTACCATAGAAAGGATAATATTTAAACTGTAATAAGCTAAAAGAATAAGTTCTCTGCCCCTGGAAACAGAAGAAGGTTCTGAGAGATTTGCGTAATCTTACAACTGTTATGTACTTAGTTTCTTGTGATGTGGAATCTACCTCAGCATATATTTTTACGTAGCTTAAGATTGCAAATTTTGACTTCTGAAACTTGCCCCAATTAATTAAATGCTTAATAATTGTTAGATTTTGCTAAATGTTTAATCTGATCGTTAAATTTTGTTCTTTCATTGATAGTGATGATTCTGAAGAAAGTTTACCTCTTGGAATCCCATGTCTGATGAACAAAGTGGGATTAGTGGAAGGAGCGCTCTCCGAGTTCATTCATGACCTTCAGTTCAGTGTTAAGGTGGGTAGATTAGTTAATTTGTAATTGCTTTGCTGGAAAGTGATGAAATTGAAAATTCTAGTTTATTTACTTGGCGAGTGACATTTGTACTTAATGATTGGCTGGCACTAAAATGTTACATATGGATTGTGGAATTTTGTGCCTGACAATATCTACGATTCTTTCACTATGAAGCTGGCTCACACTTTGAAAACCACAACCCCAAAGACCATTTTTCTGCTTAAATAAACTTTAAGGCGAGTGACTTATAGTTTTCCTTCTTTTACTTTGAGCACACACTTTTGGAAGCATGTGAAGTGCTTTTCTACTCATTGCATCACTAAATGTACCAAAAGGCATGTGGCATCCCTCAATTCTGTGGGTTCTTATGTGCTCCTTTTTGTTGAATTATTAACTGTCTTTAAATTTTTTTTCAAATAATAATAATAATGCTACTGATGTCAGCCTACGATTTAAAACTTGATCCCTTGTGTTCCCTAGCATGCTGTTAACATTGCATTACACGGCGTTTGCTGTTGCATTGCAGTTTTTTGAATAACCATGGCTGGAATCTACTTTTCATAGTACTGATGAGACAGTACATTTTGTAGTTTTTACTACTTCATTTGTAGCTTCAAAAATATGTCTATGTGTTGTGCGCCAGACAAACAAATTAATTCAGTTTATTATTTTCAGATACACGTTAACAAATTTATTCGGTTTATTTTTTTCAAATACACGTGAGCACTGTTACTGAGTTTTGTTGTCTAAATGTGCAGGAGGAAGTAAGGAACCAAATATCAACTTTGGGAACAGATTTAGTAGATGAAAATGAGAAGTTTGCCTCTGTAATTGCTCAGATTGAGAAACATAGAGAATCTCAGCGGGAGAAGGACAGAAAATTTGATTTGCACTATCAACGCACAATGTAAGATTCACACACTGCAAATTTTCCTTTTGAGGCTAACAAGAGTTTTAGTTTCATTATGGATGTTGATTTCATGTCGTAAAATTCATGGGGCTAGCATTGAACAGATTCTAGTTACTGAATTGTACTTGTATGCTACTTGCCTGAAGATGAGATACCTCAATTTATGTAACTTATTCAATATTGACCTAGAATTATTGTAATTTAATTAGAATTCAAAGATGCACTAAATGAGATTTAAGTACATTGCAGCCCCCACTGCAGAAGAATTAATTGTAGCCTAAACACGTTATGATTGGCTGTGGAGATAACATCTTTTAACTTTTGCTTGATATTCATAATGCTCTTAAGGACATAAAATATTATTGAAGAGTATTCATTTGGCTTTTGTGTATTAGAAACACTAACATAGTTATATGCACATAAGAAATACCCTCTAATTTGCAGATGTGCAACATTGATTTGATTGTCTCTCTCTCTCCCCACTAACTTATATTATGGCGTATGTTGAACCACAGAATCTAAAAGCCTGACCAGATTCATGTTTTTTAATTAAAGGCGAGTGTGACTAGTTCTCAATTGCTCATTTTTATAAATGGGTGGCACATTGAAACTCGAACGTAAGAGCTTTGCTTGCTTGGTTACCTTGTTGAACCACCTCATCTGAAAGGTTTAGTCGTTATTGAGGGAACACAATTTTTTTTTTTTTTTTTTTTTCCGGGGATAAGGCAATGTTTATCATATTTTTTCCTGTAGTTTAATTTGAAGGAGAAGAACTTGCTTACAATTATATTGCATTAATGCAGTGCAGAAGCACTTGATAATCACTTGACAGCTGTACAGAGGGACCATGAGCATAGATCCCAAATAGAAGAAAGAAGATTAAGAGATGATGCAGTTCGGGAAGAGGTTAAACGAAAGGAAAAGGCACAACAAGAAAAATTGTTGCAAGAAAAGATTAAAGCAGAAGAAGAGGTTCTTTCTCGTTCTGTCTCATTCATTTAACTTTCTTGTATAGTGTCATATTGTCACGTGAATTCAGTGGCTTAGATTCTGCAATTCCAAATCTTTTATGATGCTTAACTGCTACAAACATATTTTTTGAAGACTAATTACAATTTAGGCAATGTTTATCATATTTTTTCCTGTAGTTTAATTTGAAGGAGAAGAACTTGCTTACAATTATATTGCATTAATGCAGTGCAGAAGCACTTGATAATCACTTGACAGCTGTACAGAGGGACCATGAGCATAGATCCCAAATAGAAGAAAGAAGATTAAGAGATGATGCAGTTCGGGAAGAGGTTAAACGAAAGGAAAAGGCACAACAAGAAAAATTGTTGCAAGAAAAGATTAAAGCAGAAGAAGAGGTTCTTTCTCGTTCTGTCTCATTCATTTAACTTTCTTGTATAGTGTCATATTGTCACGTGAATTCAGTGGCTTAGATTCTGCAATTCCAAATCTTTTATGATGCTTAACTGCTACAAACATATTTTTTGAAGACTAATTACAATTTATTTGATACCTTCTGATCTTTTGTTGGTAGCCTACGATATTATTAAAGGTCTTTTTAGTTGAGCAAATAGAAAATTTAGGGATGGAAAATTTCTATCGCATAGAACATCCTTAATTCAGAAATTGCCTCAAAATGCTGGTAGCTTTAGTGTGGTAATTGACAACTCAGGAGGTTATGATATTCTTCAGGCGCCATAAATTGGATAGAATTTTCTGATAACATTATTCACGAATCTTTTTCCTACTGTCTCTTTGTTACTGCATGGGTAGATGACCTGATTATTAGACGATTATGCATGTTCTACATACCTGCAGTTTTGAGCGTTTTTAAAGAAATTAGTGGTTCGTTTTTATACGGTGGAAATGTTGTGTGAATCATTAGCTCAATATAACTTCGGAGAGCTTGTTTAATTGATGCAGGCTAGGCTAAAAGCTGAAAGAACTGAAAAGGCTAAAAAAGCAGCACTGGAAGCTGAGAAAAGAGCTGCTCAAGAAGCTGCAGTGAAAATTACTGTAGAAACTAAAACAGATTCTGCTGTCAAGACTGTAGTTGATTCTAAGGAGACTGTTGGACAATCCGTGGTGGCCGGAAATGATTTCAAGAAAGAAGTCCAATTATCAGGTATATGTGTGCTTGTGTTTAATTGAGAAGAGAGAGAAAAATTTGACCCTTGTCTCTTTTCTCATACGGGGTTTCAACTATCAAATATGGTGGCAGGAAATATAACCAAAGCTGCACGAAATGCTCTAGAATTGGAGGAAAGAAGATTGCTGACTTATAAAGAATTATCTGCGAAAAATGAGGCTATACGATTGAGCACTAATAAGGTAAATCATTAGAGAAAGGATGGCCGATTGAGTTCTGAAGCTCCAACATTAGATTGTTTTACCTCTGTAATGATAAATTGTGAATATATTTTTGCTACGTTCTCCTCATTTTTATGTTTTATGTACTAGAATTTCTCAACATGCAACTATTCATTAAACAAATTTAGAGCACATAGGTTTTGAGGGGTGGAAATTAGTTATCATGCAAGAAGTTAGTTGTTTTTAGCCTCAACGTTCTTTGATCTGGGTTTGTTGTGCAGAGTTATTCATTTGATGTATAGATGTGGTTCTACTGGAATCTAATGATAATTTTCTTGCTTATATATAAACTATCATTGACAGTTTGTTTGTACCAGCAGGATTATCATGGACATGGACAGCATATTGCCAGACGAATCAAAACAATCTCTGCATCAATAGAAAATGTCAGGTGAGTCCTATTTTTGTTAACACCCTGTGTTAATGGCTTTTTCTTTTGGGTCTCCAAAACCTGAATCTTTTCATATTTATACGGGGCTGTCAATACACTACTGGTCTGATATGCAACAGTTTGATTCTCTTTGTTTAGAACGAAATCAGATGAGTTAGTAAGGCTAATTAATAGTCCAGAATGTCCCCAATCCATCAGTATCCTAATGTTTGCAGAGAAGGTAAGATCGTTAGATATTTCTAGCATGTTCAGAATGGTATTTTTTTATATTTTTGGGTGTTTACAAAACAGGATGTGATGAACGTACTAACATCTTTTTGGGTCTTAAATTATGCAGGTTGTGTCCCAGAGTGCAAATCCTCAAAAGAGCTTCAGTGGTATCGTTTTTGCTTATAGTCGTGTCATTGTTCTTGTGACATCGAAGGTAAAATACACTACCATATCCCCACTGTTGCATATGTTTAAAAGATCTTCTTTGCTTCATTCTGGTCTCAGCCACGACGCCACTCCACACCCCCCCCCCAACAAAACACACACACATACAAACTCTTATGCATAATTCAGAATTATGTTTTACTTTTGTCTTCTTTATATGGTGGAAATGTTGCTAAGAAAAATTTGTTTTACTTTTGTCTTCTTTATACATCATGTGTCAATTAAATCACGCTTAATTTTATGTTCTTGGCTTATTTGCACTTCTATGATTTATTTCCTTCAAACACAGATCCCCCTCATTCCTCATCTCCGCATTCACGAATTATTTAGAATTATCTGAGGCTCTTGTTCAATTTTAGTTTTCCTAAAAATGGGCATCTCACATTTCTCCTGTATAATTCATGTTTCTTGATTAAATCAGCAATGATTTTATGGTCTTGGCTTCTTTGCAATTTCATGTTTTATTTCCTTGAACATAGATCCCTCTCGCCATGGATATTCTTCTAGCTGAGTTGAACAGAGCTTGCATCTACACCGTACCAAAGCATATAAATTACTCTGCGGTAATTCCTCTTTATTCTTGTATTTATATGTTATATTTTTGTTTTTTCCTACAGTTGATGATCGTTTCGCTGTTAAAAGCCAGTGCTATTTAATTTATTACTTTAGTTGTTTGCACAATAGTCTTGTGGTATGAATAAATACCCTGTGAAGTTTAAATACATCTATTTTTTTTCTCTCCTCTTTCTCTCAGTTTCTTTTTTGTATTACAGGTCAAGTGTTTTCTTCTTGTTTCGGTTACTAGTTCTGATCGTTGGTGTATGGATTTTAAATTGTCTTTTTCTATTTTAGGCACATTTTAAGACAAAAGACGCTTACTACAAAGCCATTGGTTATGAGGAAAAAGATGGGAAGATTGAGAGTACTGATAGTTATGTAGAAAGGCTAAGTTCATACATGAAACTATATGGAGCTCTAGTTCAGGTTTGTGACTGTTACTTCCTGAATTGTAACAAAGTTGGAAAATGCAATAATGATATGCTGGTGGGCTCTCGTCTGTCTATCTTCTTGTCTTTAATTTTGAAAAATATGCATATATGGCAGACTGAAGTTAACGGCTTTCAAAACCTGCATGGACTTAGAGAAGGCTGGGCATGGCTTGCCAGATTCTTGAATGCTCTCCCGGCAAACCTATATACTGCTGTTGCTCTGCAATCATTTCTTGAGGTAAGTTGATGCTGAATTTTCCAATCTCATTCCCCCGACTCATTTTAAGTGCATGTTTGGGAAGTGATTATAAAATGTTTATATTATAATTAGACTGAAATTAGTGGTGCATAAGTGGGTAGTCCTTGTGTGTTCCACTAATGCGTGGATAAATAGTAGGTTTAACTGAATAAACATATTATAAACAGTGCCAAACAAGCTTTTAAACTTGCTTAAAAGATGAAATATTTTGGTGCACAGATGGCTGGATTTGCGCTTTACAGGAGATATAAAACTCAGTTTGAGAAGTTGCTTAACATCATTGCTCGTGATTTTATCAACTCGCTGAAAGAAGGCGATCCAGAGTTGAACGCGAAGTTGAACAAGGTCACTGTAAACATTCGTCATTACATGGAGTCGAAAAAGTTCAAGAAAGAACCTGATGGACTGCAATTGAGAAGTCACTTGGATTCAAGTTCTTATTTCTAATGGTGATCAGTTGATGCTTAATCAGTTAATATGCAGTTGGTTCACTGGAGAGGTATATGTTTTCATAAACGTATCTGGACCACCACAATTTGTGATGAAAATGGATTCATTTCTTTGTTTTTCGAATGCTCTCTCCTGTTGTCTGGTTTGTGTTCTCTTGAAGTGTCTTCACTTGCTCTTTTAATTCATAGTGAACAACTAACTTCTTTGTCACTTTCTACATCAAAATTTCTGCTCCATTTCTCATTTTCCTCACCTTCTTTATTTCTTCTCGTTTATTATTCGCTTCTTGTTTTGTCCATCATCATCTTCTATCGAACTCTTCTTGAGTCGTCATCATTTCAATGGCTGAACTTTTTAACAAAATGAGTATTTGGTTAATCCCTCAACTTCTCTCTGTTCATCTTTAAAACAAGTCCTTTGGATCCTGCAATTATTATTTCCCTGGAAAATACCTATTCTCTGTTTGTAAATTTTTTTCAAAACTCAACTTCGCCTGAAATTTTTATGTAGGACCTGCTTCAGATGTTGGAGCAAGTCATCGGCTGTGATATCCAACCGTATGATAAATTTTAGCCAATGGCTGATCTGGGAATTGACATTGGGGCTTGATATATGGGGAGCAGGCTGACAGAGATCTAGAGTCGAGCTGGAGATGATATTGTATCGATTGAATATTTCTAAGGTGTTCACTTGTTCTTGCATTGAGGAATTTTTTGCATATACATTCGACAGCATATATTTAAATAGTAACCAGTCCCTTTGTAATGAATCAGGCTATGAGGACGTTATTATTGCATATCAAACGAATTATTGAATGCTTGGCGTGACTGTTAGACTCGTCATACCATGTTCGAAAATGCCTATGCCCTAGTTCATATTTGATTATCTGGGTGGCTCAGCTTATGAGCTTTCATATAATTCTTGCACAAATTTTTTTTTTCTTTTTTTTTTTTTAAATACAGTCCATGTGGATCGGTTGTCCAGGTGGGCTGTGGATCTCTACTGCCAAGGCCAAGCCTAGGATTGCTCGACTGTCGAAGCCGGCCGACACACGACGTGGACCATTGTGGCCCACGTCGTGCTTTTATTCACATGCTGGATGTCCGTGTTTAAGTAGGATGACTCAGTTTGGAACCTTTACATGTAAGGATTCATTTAGCTGAGACTGTATTCTGCTTGTACTTCTTGTAGAAGAGTTAAGTTACCTTAATATTTGAGAACTAAAATTTAGAAACGCTCTCTTCTGGAAGAGCTTTAGTAGAAATGACAATGAACAATATCTTCTAAAAGCATTTCTATCTAGTACTTTTAATTTTAATCAAACGAGTTCAAAATGAGTTTTTGGCTCTCGAAACCTCATTTTTGCTTTTCAAAATGCATGGGAATCAAGTACTAAGAGATATAAAAAAGCATTGTACATATTTTGGAAAGGTGAAATTGGCACAAATAAAATGGAAATGCTACCTTAATCACAAGAAATGAAGGTATAACAAAAGTTCAGCACTTCGGATCAATCACACACAAATAAAATTAAGTGACAACCAGCATAAACCAAAGGGTTGTGTTCTATGATTTTGATTCTATTGTATGTCTTCTCTGTTGTGTCGAAAATTCAAGTTTACGATATACCTTGGCGCTTTGTTTGGCACTGTTTGCGGATCAAGATTCCAGTAGGAGGGGCTCCTAGCGCTATTTTACAGTGAGCAGACAGCCAATATGAGTACCGGAGGAATCCTCCTAGCTTAGATTTTGCTCTGAATAAACCCCTTATCTCATAGTCAACTCTTCCATTCTCTATCTGCCTTTGCATGTTTAGACTATCGGCTACAGGCAGTCGAACCTGGCTCGACATAAGATGCACATCTGCGAACCTATATTCGGACTTCATCACAGAAAATGGTTGGATATAACGTGTAGCTATTAACTTTTCATTGTAGAAAAGGTCGAAGACTACATAGCTGAAGTCGATGTTTACTTTACTGTTTGGATTGGTGAAGTTTGCGAGTACTGTGAGATCTGCATTGAGGAAATAACCCATGTCAAGGTAGGCAGCATTTAGTGAGACAGTCGAGATGTCGAATTTTGGATTCCGGGGACGGAAAACTAAGTAAACTATAAGGATTATGAGGCCTCCTACTATTATTATGATCCACAAAATTGCACAAATTGATCCTATAAGCCATATTAATGGGTTGGTTTTACGACTCTCAGGTAGCCTGGCTGAATTGACATGGTCATGTTCATTTGCATGAAGATGGGGTGGTACTGGTTGGGGGTGTAGCGGTGGTTCCTTTTGATGTAGTGATGGATCTAGCGGTGGCGGAGGAGTTGATTCACGGTAGTGTGGAGTTTGTCGTCGGCTTTGACGCTTTGGTGGTTTAGGTTGTATAGAAGGGTGAGAATTGGTGTCCTCATCGAATTGTGGTGGTGGCAGTGATGGTGGTGGTGGTAGACGACTTTTGCGCCTGGGAGGGGGCGGCGTGAGACCTTGATTATGATGCGACGGAAAAACATCGATTTCGGATTCATGAGGTCCTGTGGGTAGTTGTTGGGGATAAAAATGGGGGTTTGTTTCTCTTTGACGGTGCACTGACATGTTGGGAAATTGGAATGGAGAATGAAACAAGAAATGAACAAAGAAGAGTGTCGTTCTTCTTGTGACATGAGTGTGAAAATATGGCTTCGGTAAGATTCATAGAAGGGCAAAGAATCAAACTTTAGTTAAGCATAGAAGGCAAGTAATGTAAACGATGCTTTGAAAAAGTTACGGGGCTATAACTTCAATATGGATCTAAAATTTCCTCCATCTTTTCGACCCTCCTTATTGTTTCTATTGAAATTATAATTTTTCTTCTTCTTCTCAACAACATATTCTTCAATAAAATAATATTACAAATAATTTTAAAAAAAATTCTTCTTTTTCGACCACATTCTTAAAAATAAATATTAATTCAACCATTAAAATTTCAAATAATGAGGGCATTCAAGCGAAAGAAAACAGTAACAGTATAGGTTAGGGTAATAATAGAGTCTTCTTTCTCGAGATTCAATTAGTGCTCAATCTCCTGCCAAACAGGAGCTTAATATTTATTTTGTTGGGATGATGAGAACGTGTATTTCTCAGGATTCAGTTTTGTTAGATGTTCAAATATAGATATAACGATGGAACTCAGCAAAATAAGTAAAAAAAAAAAAAAATCATTCATAAATCATTAACAAACATGAATGTATAAAACATTTAATTTCTCAAGTTGGCACATGTTAGTATTAAATGATATGTTTGGCTCCTCAAAATATTTCAAAATAATAATAATAAAATAAATGAGGAGTTATAAGAATTATTGTAAGACCATTTTGATGCTATTTTTTTCAACTGCCCACATAATAATCGGTCTTAAACTGAACCAAAGGCCCATATATGGAATGTTGGGCTGAGGGGGCTGTAGTAACGTATATACGAGATTAAGGCCCATATGTGTGAAAAAACAAAAATAGTTTTTTTTTTTTTTGAAAAAAAATTATATATCAGATTTTAAGTATAGGCCAATTCAACTTTAAGAGAAGTTTAAAATTTCAAAACTCGGATAATAAACAAATGATTAAAATCATTTTATTAGTTAAATATATTAAGGGTAAATTATACAATTTATGATTACAATTAAGTACTTATAGTTTACAACTTATTTGTTGATCACATATTATCAAATTAATTAATCGACAACAAATTAAAAAATTTATAAGTTACAATTTATGTATCAATCACAAATCACAAATTTTATAGATCACAACGATAAAAAAATTATTAGATTAATTAGTTAGAAATTAGTTTTTAGTCACAAATTAACATTTGTCACAAATTATCGAATTTTTGGGTCACATATTAAAAAGTTGGTAACAAACCGTCTTCGCCCTAGCCCTACTATCGGCACCAATAGTTGGTCAGAAATTAACCAAATAGTTAGTCACAAATACCAAAATAGTTGGTCACATATACTCCACATCTCATCCTACGCTACCCTAATTCCACCGTCGACACCAATACTTGATGAAAAATTCACCAAATAATTAATCACAATTACCTAAATAGTTAGTCGCAAACACTCTTCATCCCACCCCTATCCCAACTCCACCAAAAACACCAATAATTAGTGACAAAAACTCAAAATCATTTATATCAAACACTCTTCATCCCACCCTCTACACCAAATAGTTTGTCATAAACACTTTTCATCCCATCCCCACCATCGATACCATAGCTATCGTTGCCAGCGCCACCACTACCATCACTTCACTACCACCGCTATCACCACCACCCAAACATAGCCTAACAACACCACCACCACCACCAACACATCCCAACAATGTAACACAGATGCACCACCACCAACATAGACACAATCCAACAACCCAAAACTGAAGGATAACCACCATGATCGAAGCTAACGCCACCAAGCCATGTCAGTTCCATCTCCGTCGCTAAATCTGACACCAAAACTACAAACACCATCAATCTAGTCACCCTCGCCACTAGTTTTCTCCCAACCATCACCTATCTAATCACCTCAACTACCCAAGCAGGATCGCTACTATAACCAAAGTTAACTCCACCAACTAAAGTTGTTACGTGTTTGCACACTTGGGCAACCCATCGGGGCCTACAGCCAACTCATGCCGAACCACGTGGCACTGAAGTCAAGGTGATTTGCATAGTCGAGGCCCATAAACCGAGGTCCACAGAAGCCTAGTCCTATATATACCGAGGCCCATCTATCATTGCCTCTTAAGGAGCTTCCGAAGCCCATATCCCGATGCCCTTTGAAGGTGAACGAGGCCCTGTTGGCCGAAACTCTGTAGCCGAGGTAGCAACCTCCGAATCACAAAATAGCATCTTCCATAGACTCTTCTCCCGAGAGATCCTTTGCATAAAGATCTTACTTGAATGATTGATAGGACGTTTGTCATGAGTGTAATGTTAAGTCTTGTCACTAGTAGAGGCGGCTCTGCCAATCAATAAATGTATAGCAGGCTAGGTGCAGCTGATGCCTATAATTTGACGTGTAAATTAACCGGATGAGGCCACGTATACCCTGAACCAAAGGTCACGATCTAACTTGTGACACTATAAATACTCCCCCATGTACCCCATACAAAAGCTAATGCAAGAATCAATATAAAAAATCATACTTTACTCAACTCTCTTTCTTATTATCTTGCAACACAAACGAGTTCATACAAATTTGGATACACGTTTACAAAATCGATTGGTAATTATTGTACAATCGGTCAACGAACATCCCGTCGGATTCCGAACGTTCTCATCCGGCGTCGTTGAGCTACTCCCACTCCATCGATTCGTCCATTAAAGACCGTCCACATGTCTTAGCGTATTGGACTTTCGCTCACGTGTGCACGGGTGGATCCGACATCTGTTGGTAACATTTTTTGGGATCAACAGATTGGAGTCGTCTGTGGGAAATTATACAATAACCATGAACAACCTTGTGGTGAAAGTTTATTGAAAAGGAACATTTAGGCATCTCCCTTGAAAAAGGATTTGTTCTTAAAAAAGAATAAGAGAAAGCCCCACAACTTAGCAAAAATCTGAAGGTTAAACAAACAAAATGAGTTCAAATGAAGACACACCCCCCAGGAGGGTAAGAGAAAATGCAGGTACGCCTCCTCTAGCAGCTGCCCCAACAGCTCGGCATCGACTCCACCACCACCATAGACGAGGTGGAATGCGAGTGACAGCCTTGCTGTCAAGAGAAATGGCTGCCAACATGAGGGGCATTGCTAGCCAAAACATGGCTATAAGGGAACTCATGCTCCAAATGCAAGGCCGGAGAGGCTTCCATATCCCTCCATATGCCCCCCAAGGGCACTACCAGTAAGAAGATGAAGTTCAAAGTCAGAGGGTTGCCTCGCCGAACTATAGCCGAGGTAGAAGTCCATTTGAAAGGGAAGTGAAAGTTGATGTTTCTTCCAACTATGCTTCAGGGTAATCCACCGAGGTCCCTTTGAACCATGATAACTTCCCACCTCCATATGAGCAAGAGCGAAGACATAGGAAGTCAGGTAGTGTATTTGTCAGAATAAGCCCTGCAGAACTGAGGCCTAGGCAACAACAGTTTCGCGAGCCTTGGACAAGGCCACAACCCCCACCTCCGATGCCTTAACAACCAGAAGAAAGGCATGAAAATGCCCCCCATGCTACACCGCCTAGAAATAGGTGCCAAAGGAGGGAAGAGGAGGCTAGGAACTGTCTCGGAACCTCTCACCAACCACCAAGGTATGAGACCGAAGAAAACGATTTAGATGAGCAACAGATGTCCTGTGACTTAGACGATGATGATGAAAACCTACCATTCTCGAGAGAACTAAGGAGTGCCCAGGTCCCGAACCACTACGTTATGCCCAAAATACCAAAGTATAATGCAAGAGGCGACCTTGAAAAGCACCTGAACACTTACAAAACTCACATGAGCCTAAGGGGCGCCACCCCAGTTGTGAAATGCAGAGCTTTCCATTTAACACTTAGCAGAGCAGCTGAAACTTGGTATAGTAGGTTACCAACTAGGAGCATAAGGAGTTGGCCCGAATTCAAGACCACCTTCTTAAATAGGTTCGCTATGAGTAGAGAGGGAGAGGCTCCTATCCAACATCTCCAATATATGAGACAGGCACATGAGGAGTCCCTGAAGAGCTTCGTATCACGCTTCACTGATGAGATGACGTACTGTGTGCAAGTCACCGACTGTGAGGTGTTATTTGCACTGAGAGGAGGCTTGAACATGAACACCCTGTTTTGGAGGGACGTGCAAAATTAAGACCCCATCACCTATGACGCCCTACTCGAGATGATAAGACGGGAGATCATCAGTGAAAAATTGATTGAGTATAGAAACAAGGCAAGTAGAGGCCTTCCACCTTCACAAAGACAGAGTGCTAGAGGGTCGACCTCCCACTTGATAGATTACCAAATGAACCAAGCTGGTAATGAGAGTTCTGGGCAAGCCCTTGTCACCACCACTTTGAACACAGTTCCAACCTTGGCATATGAGGATATCAACCCAGTCACTAACACCCAGCAAATGAAAACTCCGCAAGGATCCCGTAGGGGAAGAGGCCGAGGCCGGGGTTAGGGACCTAGAGATAGGTCAAATCCCAACCCCCCGAATACTGCATTTACCACTGGTTCTATGGCCACGACACAACAAATTGTTGAGAGTATGCTCACCGTACCCGATAAGATCCCCAGGGATAGAAATGAATCGCCCCAGACGAACAGGCCCCACCTAGGTATGACAACCGACCTGGGCGTGAAGAGGTCACTCTCCATCAAAGGGATGTTTTCTCACGACGAAGGGAGCACAATGCAGAGAGGCCCAGGGAAGGGCGCAGACACCAAAGAAATCGGCAAACTCAGGATGAGGCCCCTATCCACGAGGTAGATACCATATTTAGAGGCCCATTTGTGGACGGTAAAGCTCGAAACGCTAAAAGAAATTACGCCTATGAGGCTAAGCGCCCCTCGTTTACCAGCTATATTATGGACCATAGCTCCCGAAGGAATCAAGATGGTACTGGGCCATGAGTTGACACCCATCACCACTCCTTTGTACGGATTTACCGGAGATAACATCACTCCGAGAGGCAAGATCACCCTTGCAGTGGAGATGGGGGAGTCTCCCCAATCTACAATGAACTTCATGGAGTTCCTCA